GCTGACCGTGTCATCCAACGACACGCTCCAGCAGGCAATCATGCTCGCAACCATCTCGCACGTCCACCGTCTGTGGATTGTCGAGCCCGGCCAGCACAAGCCGATTGCATTCTTCGTCTCACGGATATTCTGAAGGCCTTTGCTTGAGTGGTGTGTGTGTTTTGTAGCGTATGTGATTGATGTCCAAGGTTGGTTTGTGTTTGATTGAATTCTGCTGCGTCATGTCCTGATTGGCTTCACATTACAACGCATTTTGGTCTCCCCACTCCATCCAATACAAGTATTTCGCATCATCATTCATTGCATATGCGACTCCAGTCCAAATTTCCACAACCTCGTTTCTGTGTGGGTGTGTTTGTGTCATTCCTGAGCGGTTTTTCGTGCAAAATTTGCGATGGCGCACGTCCCGTGGCCCAAGCCAAAGCCAAAGCCAGACCGCGACGGCTCTGCAGCCCCACACAGCCGCCCATCAGCCACGGACCAGCAGCGTGACGTGGCATCGTCATGGCCGCCGCCGTCGGGGGGTCGAAATCCGCCAGTTCACGCAACCCTGAGCAACGTCATTTCCGACGAGTACGAGCTGCTCGACCCGCACCCAGACGTGCACGCGCTGTTTCAGATGTTTGACAGCGAGCTGTTCCAGAGCCGGCTGACTGGAGTTGTCCTGCAGTGGTCCAAGCGCATGACGCTGTGAGTTTTGGCCACCAAATCTCAGCGCTTTAGTCCCGTCGCGACGACCACACTCAGATCCATTTTGTTTTTGTTTGTTTGTTTGATTTTGTCATTTCATTCATGAATTATGATAGATGCGCCGGATTGTGCAAGTACGAAGGTCGAGGCGGACTGTGCTCCATTTCGCTCAGTGAGCCATTGCTAAAGTTTCGATCGCGAAAAGAGCTCGTTGAAACTCTACTTGTAAGCGTTTGGCTGGCTCAGAGAACGATGCATGTTGGTTTCTCTCTCACTTGCGTTGATGGTGATTATTCACCCCACATGTGCTGAAACAGCACGAAATGATTCATGCATATCTGTTTGTTACCGCCAACAACCGGGTGAGTTTTTCCCGAGCAACTTGTCGGAAAACCCGTGCGCGCATCGTTGCTCATGCTCATGTTGTGTCTCTGTGCCCAGGATCGCGATGGTCACGGCGAAGAGTTTTGCAAGCACATGCGGCGGATTAATGACATTGTGGGAACGAGCATCACCATCTACCACACGTTCCACGACGAAGTCGCGACGTATCGCGTGCATTGGTGGCGATGCAACGGCCCGTGCAAGGATCAGCGGCCGTTCTTCGGCTGGGTCAAGCGCGCCACCAATCGCGCCCCATCTGCAAACGATCCATGGTGGGCAGAACACCAAGCCACCTGCGGCGGCACGTACATTAAGGTCAAGGAGCCGGAAGGCTACCAGAGCAAAAAGAAGAGCAAAGCAAAGCAAGATCCTGGTCACAAGCTCGGTTCTGCTGCATCCAGCTCGTCCACTACCGCAAGTCACACCGACCCAGGATCTGGGGCGCGTCCCAAGACCATTCTGGACTGGTACTCCAAAGACCGCACGACCAGCTCTTCTTCTTCAGTGACAAGCAAGTCGAATGTTACAGGTGCAACATCAGCAACTGCTCCCTCAGCTTCTTCTTCTGTGGCCATTCTCGATGGTGTTGATGATGAGGATGACAGTTATGACGTCCGCGGGAACTCTTTCAGACCAAACGACGACGACAATGACGACGACGAGTTCTCTGACCCGTTCTCGAGTCCAGGATTTATATCGGCACTCTTGGCCAGTGCAGAGGCCGAGCCGGATGAGGTACACGTTGCTAGGGATGCCGTGAAAGTTGATTCCTCAAGTGGAGCCGAGTCGCACAGCCGAAACCAATTTCCCTTCCTGTCCACCGCTCCTGTTGCTGCATCAACAACTCGGCAATCCGTCATTGACGACATCCGGGCCACCGCGTGGCGTCGGAAGCGACAAGCGGAAGAGCCGGCTCGGATTACCGCCCCCGCAGCTGGATCTGCAGATACTACAGAGTCGTTTCCAAAGGACAAGCGGCCTCGTGAAACAGTGACACCCCCGCCGCCACAGCGGCCGCACAGTTCGAGGCAAGGCGATGACTCTCATCCGCCTGTGCTTGACCTGTCCATTTCTCCAGTTCGTTCGCATCTTCCGCCTGTGCTCGATCTGTCCGTTTCTCCTGTTAGCAAGCAATCAATACCACGAG